AATTACAATTTAACAGAGTAAAGAAAAAAAACATATTTAAATATTTTAGAACATCTTTAAAATGACATTTGGGAAAACATTTTGGGTCCGTTTTTATGGATGAGAATTCTTTTCTTAAATTCTTAACATATTTGTTGACGGAATAAAAAGAAAAAATGTCCTGTAATATTAGTTACATAGACTTTTATTGACAGGGTATGGGATCCCATACCCTGTCACTAAAAAACTATGTAACGAATTTACCCCACCGAAGAAATATTTACGTTTTATCAGTGTTTTATAAATGACTTTCTCTGCTAAATGCTTCATCACGCTTTTACTGTGCCTATTACTAGTATGACGTCAGGGTGTGTTTTTGACTTAATATATCGACTGGGTATAGATTTACAACTGACCGGGTGTAAGTAATATACCTCCTTAACGTAAATGACTTAAATCAATCGTAAGCCAGGATTTCACGGAAAAATCAACAGAGGTAGGGTAATTAGATGTAAAAATTGAGTTGGGCCATTTCTAAGCAGTAGGTCGGGAGAGAGGGCAACCAGATATTTTTATTTAAAAATGGTCTTAACAATATAAGGCTAGAACGTACATGTTCATTCACATACTTAGTAATGTAGAATTTATTAAGCTTTGGCACTATTCTTTTAATGGGGAAAGGGGGGGGTTTAGCCTCCCACTTTTTGTATTTTGCGAAGAAGACATAGCATAGAAATGAACCTTTCTTTGCAAAGATTGTACTCTTTTCTAATTTCAAAGAAACAACTCAGTGTATTTTCTCAAGCTTAGTATGTTGGTTATAGCTTACAACTTTGTTAATATAATGAGACATGATATGTTTATATGTCCAAACATTAATCCATACAATGTATGGGCCATCGCAAACAATCTAGCTATTCATGTTAAGTGCCTGATGGAAAACCATATATGACTATTTTTTCTATCTATATGCTAAATAAAATTGACATATGTACCAACTTTTCGATTGTAATGCATGTCAATGCATTTTTTTGTCATGTACCGCATTTTATTTAACATTTTACAAATTCAAAGCGAAGCATTCTCCTACAGAGCCCAATTTGAAAATAACTTCCATCGCCACATAAAAAAGACCCGTCGTAAACACATATGTTTAGGACATATTTTATCTTTTTTTCTTGAGTTTTAAAGAAACCAACAAATTATCAAGACTTGTTCCATAAAAAAATAAAATATAATCATGGTAATAAATGCATATTTCCACAGTAGATATATGCACATGCCAACCACGTGCTCAGTGGAATGATATAAACGAGGAAATTCGAGCAAAAAACAGAACAGTTTTTCCCGATTTGCTGGAGTGGGGTTGTGAACGCATTTTTTCCTTAATCAGAGGATGCGATGCAACAAAAAAGTAGTAAGTTAAGTAAAGTAAGGATTATTACTTCACAATTGCTTCTCTTGATGTTGTTATGGTCACATTTATTCTGAAATCAATGTGCGGACGCAATGAAACACATGACCTCAGGAAGACCCCAAATGAAAAAAACATCAAATTTTCAAGAATTATGGATGATGACAAGAAAAGAGTATTAAACGCATTCTTGATATATCTTATTTTATGCCAAAATTAAATCCTTTCTAAATATATATTTTGCTTATACGGTACTCGGAAGTCAGGGCCATTAAGCAGTAGGAATTCTTTATCGTGCCAATGCCTTCCTAGAATTTTGGCCTCACTAGAGCTTATAAGTAAGCGTTTAATTACCAATCGAGAATAACATGTGTTATCAATATTGTCCACTGTAATCCCTAATAAACCATCAAAAGTATGCTACATTTTTAGGTCAGACGGCTATTAGTTTTATAACCATCAATACAGTGTCTGTATCCAATCCTTGATGCTTTCATGGGTCTTTGTAGGCTCTACTTATTACATGTGTAACATGTATCATTATTGTACCTTTAGAAACTCGTAATCATAAAAATCTATAAATTGAAAAGAAAAATACACACATGCAATGTTCTATTTTTCGAAAGCAGTAAAAAATTTAGACGATTTTTTTTTGTCGATAATCTTGAACATCAAAAGCCAGCGTAAGATACCAAAATTAAATGAAAATGATAATAACAAAACATCACTGTGTTCGCAGGCGAAATGCATTTTGTTTCCATCGAACTCAACTGTTTACCTTGGTTGGACATGTCCATGTACGCCCTCGGAAAAATGTTAGATTTTAGAGAAATGTATACCTTTTTACTGGACTTTTGAGCAGAATCATCGTAGCTATTTTGACAATAACTGTTCTTTATAGATTATGAAACAAAGGAATCGCATTATATGACTTTTATAAACAAAAAACAAGTGTTGATTTATAGGAAGTGTGTATAGTTTTGTTATCCGTTTTGAAAACCACGATTTCATCCTGTCATCTAGGTTTTTTGCACGACATTCCTACTTCCTAAGTCATATTTTATTTCCTATTTGGTCGTGTACTTTCGCCGATTAACTATGAGTGTTGATCCAAATATTACATGTATGTGACAGTGTCGATATCTTTTACATTTGGCGTCATATCAAATATAATGTACCAAACGATGCATAAAAATAAATCTAATCAAAATAAAACTTTCCTTTGATAATGTTTACTGGAATTGATTTTATAGATTTTTAAAACATTGAACATAGAGGGTGTCGCCGCGTCACAACTTAACGTCACATCTTAAAGTGTATACTTTGATAATGAAAAAAAGACAAACACAATAAATGTATCTAAAAAGTGCATAATCGGCCGATACTTTAAAAGAAAAAATAACCTATTTTCTAGTCTTAATTAAGTAAAAATAAAATGAAGTCATTTCTATGTTTTTTGATGAATATTGTTGTATTACTCTGATGCATTCAACAAAGGAATTGTCGAAATGAAAAATAAAACAGGAAAGAGCTGTAATTTTTTTTGCTTCAAAATAGGGAAATCGCCAGTAGAGACAGTTAGTATTGATTGATTGATTGATTGTATATTGTTTAACGTCCCTCTCGAGAATCTTTCACTCATTATGGAGACGTCACCGTATGCCGGTTAAGGTCTTCAAATTTAGACCCATACTCGGCACTCAGGGCCATTGAGCAGTGAGGGTTCTTTATCGTGCCAGCGCCTACCGTGACACGGGACCTACGTTTTTAAGGTCGTATCCGAAAGACCCGTGACTTTCACTTCTAGTGCCGAGCGCTTGGCAAAGGAACAATCATTACCTTTGTTTACGTCTTAGGTATGACGTGGCGCCGCAAACAAGAATCGTACCCGGGCCTCCCGATCACGAAACGAACGCTCTACCACTAGGCTACCGGGACCGTTTAAAGTTATAAATCAGATTCACAGAGGAAATAATATAAATAAGAAACTTGTTTAAATATTGTTTCAGTGATTTGGGGTGGGTTATGGATCGATAAATGATCTGCAGAGGACAGGAAGACCAAAAGATGGGGGGGGGGGGGGTCAGGAGGAAACGTTCAATAGTGTTTGACGTTTTCTAGAAAGACAGACGTGTCAAAGTAAGAGCGTTTGAGAAACTTAAGTTTGCATTGTGGTACTTTGTCAAAGGACTAAAATATGAAAAGATCTAGAGTGGGTGAACAATGGGTGCCAAAAATTCTTTAAAAAAGTTAAAAATGTGCATGCGTGAATTTCAAATATTTTTAAAGAAACGAAGGGGAAGCATTTAAATGTTTAAGTATTTAGGTGCGGCGACTACCATAATCGCACGTTTTATACAAATCGATATTTTGAAAAGTTATAATCATGTTAATATAATTTTTCAGTTCTAATTTGAAAAACATGTATCTCCCATCTTGTATAATTTTGTTATTTTTAGTCGACTTGTGGCAATCTCTTCGAATCTGTGACATTTCTTTTGGATCAACCCTGAAAATATGAAAATATTTGCATCCAGTATTCTTGATTAAAAAATCTTTTTGTCATTAATTATTGTCCATAACTGAATAACTTTAAAATTTCATTCCATATTTTGTTTCCATAATATTTCATTTTATTTGCATTGTCAACATGAATCAACCAGTTTTTTTCTCCAGTGAGTCTGAGTTCATCTGCAATTTAAAGACAAAGCAACTTATTTTTGCGAGAAATGTCATTTATTCAATTGACCACAAATATATTTGATCAGATGAAGAAATCAATATCAAGTATTGATTAACCCAAAATGACATCATAAATGGCAATAAATTTGCAAAGGTGGGGTTAAAAACCCGCCAAGACCGAAAGTGAGTTACCCCACCTGAAGATTCAATGGAGATCAGAAAAGAAAAATCAATTTTCACACGTGTCAATTATATTTCAACAGTAGTATATATATATATATATATATATATATATATATATATATATATATATATATATATATATATATATATATATATATATATATATATATACTGAAAAATTATAATAACATGATATATATCGTTGAATCAAGCCTTGTTGTGCTCTATTTAGTAAAGAATAACATAAATAATAGAGCAAGCCTTTCTGACCTCTATATATTACTACAAATTATGTCGTATCAATCCATGTTGACCTCTAACAAATATAACCCTAATACGAATTATTTTTCTTAGAAAATGTTCATTCGAATGTAGTTTTTGAAGCATTAAATTTCCATCTCTCCATTTGTTGAATGTCGGGTAGAAATCTGATCAAATAAATAATAACATATCGACTTATATTAATAAAAAAAATTCTTAAGTGCAAATCGACTCGATGATTCTAATGAATAAAAATAACCTTATTTACAAATAAAAAAAATCATAGTTAATAAATAGTTAATATGCTACGATGTTTAAAAATAATCGTAGACTTTAATTCCTGTTATTTTCGTCATATATTGTGTTGATCTGTAAACATTGTTAAAAACAGTTAAAAAAGCCTTGGATATTGGCTTACTATTATGTTGAAACAAATCAAAAATATCTTTTTCATAAATTCATTATTAAACAGATATGGCTTTATAAATTAGTTCATCAGTATAAAGCAAAGACAAAGAAATTAATCACGTAACTAAATTTTAATTTTTCTATTGTTTATTTCTTACGAATTAGTTTTTTTTTGAAGACCTCTACTTAACTTTAATTAAATTATGTAGATGATTCAAAAAGTTAGATAGTCTTTTAACTTGAATAGGTTGAGTGTCGAGTAAGAGGGGAGTCAAATGCAACTGACAGGCATTGAAGATTAACTTCGTGATTTTTTTTCTATATATTATTTAATCCCGAATATACGTTTTCTGCATTGGCAAGCTCCTGTTCTGGATTCAATGCGGTGTAGGTGGAATTTGGTCGTGTAGAACATTTTATTTCTGTTACTTTAGGCATTATCTTGAGGTTTAGTCCTGTATATTGCTGTTCTACAGGGTCATAAGTCTCATCAGGATTGAGTGTAGTGTAGCCTGAGGCAGGACGATTATGTACAGGTACTGTATAACGCTGTTCTTCGGGGTCATTAGCTTCACCAGGATTGAGTGTAGTGTAGGCTGAGGCAGGACAATTCTGTACAGGTACTGAATAATGATGTTCTACGGGGTCTCTAGGGTCATTGGCCTCACCAGGATTGAGTGTAGTGTAGGCTGAAGTAGGACGACTCTGGGAGGGTGTAAGAGTGACTACTGGTTCTGGGTTTTCTTCTTCATTTTCCTCATTTTTAGTGGTCGATTTTCTGTGTAAGAATCTAATTATACTTTAGGGATAAAAACTTTTAAATCATTGTTGAATAAGCAAACAATTATACATTTAATATCCCTTACATGTATGTTACAAGTAATATATTGATCAACAAATATATTAAAGATATGAAATAAAGCCTCATTTACCGTTTTCGAAATCTTACGATGTATATTACAAGACATATATTCACTCCTGTTGATACAGAGACCAATATTCCACCTGTTACTAATCCAATAAGCAAGCCTTTTCCAGTAGAACCTAAGACATATTTTATCTAACTTAGAAAAAATATGTCACGTAAAGCATTCTAGATCCTTTACCTATTATTGTTTTTCCTTGATGGTCATGTCAGTTATATGTTTGTCATGAGATAAAATATATGTTCTTTATTTTAAAGCAATTTAAAAAAAAACCAAAAAGAAACAATTGAAAATAATTCGACAATAAATGCAAACTGAGGTATGATAGAAAATGTTGGACTGGGTCTAAAGGAAACTTCATGTTGGATGAATGCATGATTTTTATCATCTAGGTAATTGAATTATGCATGCGTATTTTATACAATGATAGTTCTCATTCTGGAAATCATAGGAGAAAATAATCAAACCTTTTGCATTGACATCTGAAGTAAATATAAAGTATTCAGTAGTAAGATTATCCACTGTCTGAATGCCGAGCGTAGTTGTAGATTTGTCAACTATACCATCTGTTGATTGATCTCGACCTATATATATATATATACCAAAATCATTCTTATTTAATTCAGTAATGAGTTAATCATGTTAATGTAACTTAGAAAAAAAACGGTAGAAGTGAAATGTTATTGGTCGCTTAAGAACAGTGATGCTTCTAAGAAATATACATATATACATGTATATTTAAACAATGCAAATCTCTAAACGGTACATGAAGTCGATCCCCTGGCAATTCAAGAAGTAGGGTCAGGTGCCAGAAGTAGAAATCGTTCTCTTCTGAGCACTCAAACACGTCATAAAACTATGCATTGATAATAAGGACAGAATGTTCCTTTGTTTAATTAAAAACGCAAATATACTAGTCTGACAACCTTAGAATTTACAAAATGCAGACTCTAAATTATCATAAAATACTAGGTAATCTTGTTAACATAAAGATTTACATTTGAGTAGCCCTTCTCCGTTAAAAAAAATATCATACTCAAACCATGCTCTAGCTTCCGCAGTTAATTTCAATTGATTGAATTTGCAGTGTTTAGGTACTGTTGCCCTGAATCGGGAATATTTCAGTCATATATCGGCGATAAAAAGTTAATCAAGTGGCCAATTTTTAGCGTACCAATTAAACCCTGACAATGCGCACGTGTTTACAAAATATTTCCATAAAATACGGACAATGGATGATCATATCATAAAAGTGAAGTTACTTCGTATGTCACTTCATCTAATTGTTTGTTGACCCATATCGTTTATAATCAGTAAAACATCTAAATACGAAGGAGATATGGCAGACTTTTTTTGTGTCTTTTGAAGCAGAATTTATTTATAATCTGACACATGACAAAATGAAAACACTCTCTATAGACTCTAGCTCGACACTATATATCGATTATGCAATGAAAGATACCACAGAGTATAACAAATCAGCTTCAATCTTTCTAATGCCAATTACTCCAATCTATATAGCAATTTATTCATAATACTTGCATTTGCAGTTCATGTCCCTCAATGATTCAATAGGCAAAATCTAAAGTATGATCTGAATTAAGGCAAATGTCAAGTGTTTATAATTTCCCAAGCTTCATAGAAGAAACACGGACCCTGTCAGCAAATACAATTTGTCAAGAAATAAATTCTTGATGAACGGGTTTCTAACTACTTATTATGCTATTATTTTCACACTGTATTTGCCTACAGGTTTGACCTGTTGGCAAGAGATGCTCACTCCTCCATGATACCTGACCCCCTCTCTAATGTTTTAGAAGTGCCGTGTTTTTAATGAAAAAAATGCCCGACCTCGATTCCATATCTGGACATTGTGTAAAATGGAACTCTGAGTAGTAGGTGTTATCGAAAAAGGCCCTTAAGTTTGAGGTAAATCAATTGTACAAACCTAGTGTCGATGTTTGTAGTAATCTTGTATCTGCACTTGTAGATTTTGAAAGTCCACATGATCCGTTGATTATTCTTGAGATATCTAGTTGTAAGTTGTGCAAAGAAACAAAGTTATTGTCTTAGCATAATTTTTTTTATATCTGATGAACCATACCTATAAAATGAAACTGAAGAAACATATATTGCAATTTTAACTTTAAAGAATACATAATTGTTGGTTATTTTTAATATAAATACTATGTAAAACTTTACATCTTAATTCATACTTAATTATATTTATTCCTACGCAGGTGATTGGTTAAAAAACATCTTTGTTAGTCTTAATGAATGTAAGAAAAATGTTGATCTAGTCCTAAACAAGAGAAACATTGACCACAAATCTCACTAGAGAAACATTGGCCATGCTGTTTTATCCAGATTTCCTACTTGCAATATTGTGACATACATGTATATCCTATCTCATGAGCCATGATTTCAACAATTTAGAATTTACACACAGTTTTCACTTTTCAAATCCAGTGTGCCATAATACGAAAGTTTTCCCCAAATATTTCAATGTTAAATTTGCGCTCCCAATTCTGCCTCTGCCCCACACCGAATCCCCATGATTTAAAGAATAAGGAATCTACACCTCCCAAGGATGTCTCAAATATAATTCAACTTTTTTGGGTCTGTGGCTCGTGGGAAGATTTTCTTTTAAAGATTTTATTCTTAAACATATTAATCCGAAAATTGAATTCCCTTATGTTGGTCCGACCTAACTCATTGACTTTATTTGAACAAAAAAATATTACACAACCCTAGAATGTTCAAATATGCCAAGTTCCTGACAAACAGACGGACTATGCACAATAATTGGATAATTTGATAAACTCAATAGAATTTTCAGCTCAGGTGAACTAAAATGGGATACTTTTTTTTTTAAATTAAAATATAAATTTGCACGTCTAATCCTGTGCATGTAACCTTTGTAAGAAAATTCAATACTTGTTTAAAATTTATAGAAATTTGTTTTTCTTCTCCATTTTTGCAACGATTTTTAAAATATTAATTAACTTTGTAGTGCTAATTTCAGATTCTCATCAAATAAAGCATTTTTAGTTAATGTAAGTTTCATGAAAAAGGCGATCTTATGAGAAACTATTTTCTTTTAAACGTTTAAAAAATCAGATATAATAAAAACCGATAAAGATATGTGATTGTTTAATGCTATGATGTGCATATACAAACTACTATTTTTGTCTGCCAGTCCTGTCTTTAGTTTACATACCGTTTGTAAACACTCGTAGGTAGTAATCTGTGGGCCCATCGATACCCTCTTTGATTAATTTCACAAAACTAGAACGGTTAGTTAGGACCAGAACATCGGGATTGCTCGAGCACGGTAGTCTGTACTTCAAATTATTACTATCTAGAACTTCTACTGCTGTCCCACAACTTTTATAGCCCGGGTTACTGGCCAAATCATAAAAGGTCTGTCCACCGTAGTTCAGCGAAATTGAACAGCTGCATTGGAATCTTATTTCTCCAAAATCAATACAAATATTGTCTCCTGAAACTTTGCTGCCATCACAAGTGTCCAGTATTCCTGTTAAATGAGGGGTTTTGCATTTTAAAACGCAAATATTTGGGAATGCTACCCCTACTTTTCACCTGTAATAAGTTTAAATTAGCACTATGTCCTGTTTTTTTCATTCAAAATATCACATGTATTTAATATTATCAAAGTATCATTACACTATGAATAAACCACTTCTATTTTAAGAATCTGACAATTTCAAAGTAGCTTACTCAGTCAGCATTCAAATGTATGCTACAAATCATGTAATACTATGCTAATTGTTTACAATAGCACATACAAGTAAAAAGTCTTAATTTTAGTGTTACATCATGTAAAACCTCTAGAATTTTTGTTTCGTTGACAAAAGAAAATTGTAAAACATTTTCAGTTATCTTTTTCTAACTTCTAACTCAACCTACCGTTGCTGCAATATGACTTTAGTCCTATAAAGAAAAAACTCATTGTTAATAATAAACAAGAATTTTTCTGTGTGTATATGTAGACCAAAAAAAATGATTTCATTGTATGAATATTCGTAATATATATTCATAAGCTTGACTTCGTGTTACCATTTTTACACTAGATACGTACAAGTAAAATGAGAAAAGTCAATCTTACCATAAATATTTGAATGTTCTGCATGTAGTATAGCAAAGTACATAATCCATCGGAGTTTCATTTTCACCGAGTAAATCAATCTATACAGCTGTGTGCTGTATTGCACAGGGTACTCATATTGACTTCTTCCGTGTTGCGGTAAACTATTAAAGCCCATTCAAATGTGATATACTCTAGGAACATAAATCACGGCTAGGAACACGTTAAGTTCCAAGACAGTACCGTTGTCAGAAACCTTTTAAGTTAAGCACTGAAAATTGAAATTTGTAAATGAAAGCAGCACGATTAAGGCCGCATATAGCAGATATGTCTTGAAATATTCTGGTAAAATCAATGTAATGTTGATATCATTTTACTAGCATGAGTTTTACTTTAATGGGAATAGTACTAATGCATATGTATGTATGGGGTCTCAACCAAGTTCAGCCAAAGCAATTTCACGTCTATCAGCTGTTTGTTACGTGACGTGTAGGTAAAAAATAATGATTTATACTATATGAATTTTTGTAAAAAAGAATATATTCATAGACTTGGCTTAGTGTTACCATTTTTACACATTATATGTACATGTAATATGAGAGAAGTCAAACTTACAATTAATATTCCTATGTTCTACATGTATACAAGTAGTAGAGCAAAGTACACAATCCATTTGTTTTATTTTCATTCAATCGCATCATCTCGGGTCTTTCCGTCAGATGTCGGAAAAACAACCTCGAATGTATTAACATCGCCGGATGTTAAAAATTTATACATTTCCTGTTTATTCAAATATAGGATAAAGAGAATTAGAAGTCCCTTTAATAGTATATTTTAGATAATAGCATTACATTGAATAAAGATAAATCCATATTCCACAGATAAAAGGTCTCCATGCATTTATTTCAAAGATCATGAAAAGGGAGGGTTGTAATGGCGTCTACCATATACATTTTTTCGTCGTATTTCCGCTAGTTGGAAAAGCCCGAGAAGTTGCGATTGATTTTCACTGAGCAAACATATTCATACAGCTAAATGTTGTATTGTAGACGTGGTACTTACATTGATTTCTTCCTTGTCACAGTCAAATATTAAAGTTCATGCAGTTTTAGAACAGTAAATGTAATATAGTATGAACATAAATGAAGTAATTGTTCAATGTTTACTGGTATGTACTTTTAAAGCGATGTTAACCTTTTCCCTTTATTTCTCGTGGAATATTTTATTATTAAATTACTTGCGATACATTACATATAACAAACTTATTTAATCAGTTCTATTATGTGATAGATAAACTTGAAATCATACTTTTTGAAAAATATTTTGACAAAAAAGAAATGGATATAACATTATGTGAAGCTGTAATGTCGTGGATGTTACTGAATTATTGAAAAAGAAACTTGTTTCGAAAAAAAGATTTCTTTTAAAACTTATTTGCTGTCTTCATACATGCTCTGTAAATGTGTTTAGAAGAATAACGTAATCATCTCCATATTCGTACACTTCAGACAGTTTTTTTAATTAAGAATTTGGGGGTTATAGAAACAGCATATTCTGCAATAAATCTATGATCACATTTATAGATTACGTAATAATATACACAACTCAAAAGAAACATACTGAACGCCGTCACTGCCTCATAGCAGAACACTACTATTGCATATGTCAACCTTCCATCACATTATGTCAACTCTTTATGACATAAATCCAAACTACTATTGCATTGTGTCAACCTTCCATTATATTATATCAACTCTTTATGATATTAACCCATACTACTTTTGCATTGTGTCAATCTTCCATTATATTAAGTAAACTCTTTATGACATTAAGCCACACTACTATTGCATTGTGTCAACCTTCAATTATATTATGTAACTCTTTTTGACATTTACCCACACTACTATTGCATTGCGTCAACCTTCCAATACACTATGACAACTCTAAATGACATTTACCCACACTACTATTGCATTATGTCAACCTTTCATGACATTATGTCAACTCTTTTTGACATTTACCCACACTAAGTACTATTGCATTGTGTTTACTTTACATTATGTCAACTCATTATAACATTTACACATACTACAATCATATTTCGTCAATTTGCATTTCGTTATGTTTACTTTTCATGACATCTTAGTTTTTATTAACTGATGTGAAAAGCGCATGTCATACTATGCGCACTCTTCTACATAATGTCGATTCACTATTACGTTATGCGAACTCGGGTATCCTCGGTCTTTATATGAGCATAACGTATTTTCCGCGTTCCGTAAGCACTAAAAATGGCGGGAGAGAAAACTGTTGTAGAAGAGATTCTCAACGATTCGGGAATGGCATCTTTAAATGAAAACTTTAAGCGACAAATGATTGACAATCTTGAAACGTGCAAAGCCTTAACACTGCGACTATGAATGAAAGTCAGGTCGAAATGCAATGGTGTTTATTTTAATTTAATCTGATAACGAAATAAATCAAATATTATGAGTCGTGCAGCTTTTTTTTTTTTTTTTGTTTTCAATTGGTTTTTTTAATATAAAAGTCTTAAACTTTGTAGGACATTGCATTGATATCACATTAAGTTGACGTGAATTAAGTTGAAAACTTTTTTTTATAAAACTATAAACTATATATATACTGGGAGCTTCTCCGCTTTTCGCCCATGGTCTCCAACCATATACCGCCCCCTTCCTTGTTCAAGAGTCCCATATCCGCATGCATATTCAATTGATTTAGATAAGCGACTGGTATATTTTTGTAATAGAATTCTGGCCCTGGAAAATAATTACTAATTCCAGTGACGTAGTATCTTTTTTGAAGGAGGAGGTCAGCCAAAAAAAATTATTTACCCGAAAAACCTTAACAAGCCAAGAACAAAAATTGTCCAAGCGCAAAAGTCCTATTTCGGGAGAGGGGTCCATCTTCGATCAGATATATTACATTACCCTCTGACATTACCCTTAGTGGACTATACTTAAGCAAAAAGTTGGGTTGGGGGCTGTACAGTTTAAATGAACATTACATTTTCTGTAGTAAAATTATGTCTGGGAAAAGAGGCGGGTTGATATTATGTGCCCGTAATTCGTCCTAATCAGTCAGGACCCCCTCCCCCCACCCCCTTTTTAACCAGTCATTAAAAGACGGTCGTCAACATTCATTATATACTAGATACACAGCTTTGAGATAATGTAAATGTTTTCTTTAAAGTAAATGTTTTTAAACATTAGGAAATGAACTTTGGGAATCAACATGATAAAGAGTTAACATAATATAAAGATATTTTTAAATCACATAAGAAAGAGTTGACAGAACGTAATATTAATTATATATATCCACATCACGGAGTGGAGTTTTGACATAATGTAATAAAGTATTGCTATAATATAAAGATATGTTCACATTATGTTATACACTTTTTACACCACGTAATAAAGCACTGACATAAAGGTAAGATGTGTTGACCTCACATCATGATGCCATTGCCGTAAAATAGATAAATCCATACCACGTATTATTATGCTTCCTGTCAGTTTGTCTCTATATAACCCATACCCTACTATTCTCGCATAGTGGTCTAAACATACTATGCCAAAATAGTGCACGGCTTTATTTACTGAATAAAATTCTGCGATGCACACGCCGGCCATCGAACTCACGACAATTAGATTGTCAGTCCGATGCCTTATCGATTACGCCACAGAGACGATCTCTGATTAACAGAATTTTATTAAATAATACAATTGACACAAGAAGGAAAAAATATACAAGTGTTATTTGAAAACAGTAATATTATTTTAAGGGACCTTAGATTAATGTATACAACAAAGTAATACAAACTAATTACATACAGATCGTTAGATGAACTGATTTCATAGGGTCATTTAAACGCTTTTTTATATGACGCTTGATTGAAGGATGTAAAAGAAAATTATCAATAAGAATCGACGTCTGCAAACAAACAACAAAATTACTAACAAAACAGAAAGTAAAGAGGAGTTGCTTTGAGACAGAAAATCCAGACTTATTTAGAGAAAATACTAGTAACCAAAATAACTAAGCATGCAACCAATTATGAATTTTAGCATGAAGATTTCGAATGAGTTCTTGCATGTGCGCTGTGTTAGCACCGATATTTTCAGGAAAAAGTCAAATGGATTGCCGCATAAATAATTACGACAGTCAGCATAATAATAACAATAGTGTTGCATTATGCATGTACTATGCCTAAATAGTAGGCAGGGTTTGACACATAGTGCACTCGCCTCCGGCTCGTGCACCATGTGTCAAACCCTGCCTACTATTTAGGCATAGTACATGCATAATGCAACACTATTATATAAATAATGCTTTGATATTATAGAAATATATCCTCTCAAATAGGAATGGGCTTTTGATATCATGTAATGATAAGTTAAATTATAAAACACAATTTACTTGAGGTAATGCAATTTTTAACTCACATATTAAAGAAATGCAATGTTGGAAAGAAACATTCATTTCACGTAATAAAGTTTTAACACAATGTAAACATAATTATTATCACTTCACATAATGGTTTGTTTTACTTCAAGTTACATGTATGAAGTACTGACATAACGAAAGGATGTTTTTACATCATGTAATGCAGCATTGACATGATGGAAAGATATATTTACATCATCTCGTAAAAAATGGACATAACGAAAAGGTTTATTCATATCACGTAAATAAATGAAACAATGCATAGTAGTATGCTATAAGGCAGTGATGCCGTTCCATAGAAACAATTATTCAGTTTTGACGTGTGGTGTCAGTGAGAAAATCTTAGTTTTATCCCCATCACACTACAGAAAATTATTGGAGAGTAATAATCACAATAATCCATATTAATGCATTATAAAAATCTTTAAAGTAAACAGAAAAACAAAGCATTGAATTCGTAAAAAAAATCGTGCAATTTTTCTCAAATGTTTTATACATTCAGGTTTTAAGGTAGGATAAAACACCCGTGGATTCTATTTTTACCCATTTCTTAAAAAGTACCGAAGAAAAGAAGAACAATATTACTATATTGACAACAATGAATGATCCCTGTAA